GTACAAAAGTACCTCTCCTAGCCGACCCACTTGACTTTTATTCATGAAAACTTGAGTTACAAGAAAGACAATTGTGTCCCTCATAGAAGATGGGACACATAACTTAAACTCAGATACAATAGACATTTCACTTTCAATAAGATACACTAGAATGACCAAAATACCCCTGACTCGAGCATTCTAACACCAATCAAAGCATTCAATAATTTCTATAGTTTGGATTTTGGAAATAGCCTAGGTAACTTATCATAAGCATACACAAGGATATTACATCTTTCAGTTGATTGTGGATGCCATAGCATGTCCCACACCTCCATAAATGATCATCCATTTAAATCTGGCCTAACCATCTAATGGCAATTGGAATGTCTTAGTGGGAAATATGCCTGTGCAAATTCTGGTTTAATTTTTTTTTCAGGCTTTATCCTGTTTTGTTTGCTTAGGTTCAAATACTCATTGCCCAAAAATTAGGAAGCTGTGCATAAATCAAATGAGGCAGGCAAGACATCTAAGCATGTTTTCTTTTAATTGCTGAAGTCTATACTAAGATCTTTGAATATGAGGAGTTTTAATCTAATGCTAATTATATACTCCCATGAAAATTAAGAAAGAGATTAAGATAACAGATGGACAATACAGTGGCTTTTCTTTGTGGAGTAGAGATTGAGCCTTGAATGCTCGGGTTTATTTTTTTATATCATTAATATTGTTGTCTATGTTGCAAAATGTCCCTATTAAGATGATTCTTGTTGTACAGATGGAGACAAACACTTTCAAAACTCCATGCTGCTATCTGTGTCTTGCATTTTGCCCTCTTTACCTTCTATGGTTTCTGTGTTTTATCTTGCATGCATCTCTTGTCTGGCAGGGAAAGATTGATCTTGATTCCACTGAGTAAATAACTCATATATAAACCCAATTGGCCAACCATGTCATACAATGACCCTATTGGCCTAAGAAGTGCCAATGAGGCTGAGAACCTTTCAGGTTATGATTTAAGAGTCCTGTTTTTAGGATGGATTGATGCAAATCTAATAGGGGCAAATCGTAAATTTAAGTACATGCTTGACTTTTTATCATAACCTACATCTCTAAACATCTCTTTCAACTCAAATCCCTTCTTCATTCTTCTTCAAAGTTCTTAGATTCATTGGAATCTGCAAAACCTTTTGTCCAGCACAATATGTCCAAAGTCCCAGTGGCAACCATCAAATCAGTGTCAAAGGTTCTAGTGACTAAAAACTGGACAAAATAAAGTTTCACTCCCCACGTTTGAGTTCCAAATAAATGGAGCCTAAAAAAAGACAGGAAATATTTAACATAAGAACAACAACAGAGCTATCATTTGGATCAAAAACTTCCTCTTGTATGTGAAGTTATGGATTTTGCATGGGTTTAATTCCATTGTTCATATATCAAGTTTATGGTCTATCATATATCAGAATTTCCTCTTGTAATTCGAGCTGAAATGCATGTTAGTGGTATGTGCCAAATGGCCAAATCCATCCTAATAAGTAGCCAAGTTGCTTTACTGTGGCCACTAAGCACTCACCCAGTCACCCTGTCTGGTTGTATACACATAAAATCAAAACCAAGTGGAATATGATTAGAGGGATTCAACTCTATGTGCCAAGTTGCTTTTTTCCCCAATTTGTTCTTATTCAGGGATGCAAAGGTGCTGCAAGAGAAGACAGTGAAGAAAGCAGCACAGGCTGCAGCTGGAGGAGGAGATATGAAAGGTGAAAGCAGCAACAAGAAATAACTACAGGTTTATTGTATAAGGGAAATGGGGAATTTAGATGCTTGGATCAGATTTTGGGTTTTTCTCTATCCGTGGCTAAAAGGAAGAGAGTTGTATGTGGGTGTTGAAGTTTTGTGGTTCTATGTCTCTCTGTTTTGTAAAGATTACCTCTTTTGGTCTCAGATGTGAGAACTAGTTCATGTTTGATTCGAGAAACTCTTATTGTCTATTGAATTCTTAATTGGAATCTGATCTAGAATCCCTATTAAGCTTTATTCAATCTGCTTTTATCGCTGTTGATTTCCTTACATTTTGAGCAATTTTGTCAAAGGCCCTTGTTTGTAGTCTCCTTTTAGTTCATGAACTTGGAAAACGATGCACAACCTACTTAAAATTGTATATGATATACAGAGCTCAATAATGATTTTCTCTTTGTTATATTGATGATTAATCCATGAATATATTTTGAGAAACTTCTTGCTCATTAAATTTCTTGTTCTGATAAGCTTTTTTCTTTATAGTAATTGTGATGAAGTTGTGATTCTTCCCCCTTCCAATCTAAGGAATGTTGCCTTTTGAGATCAAGCAATGGACTAAAGCTTTTTGGGACCTTGTGAAACCACTAGAATATCTGTTAATTCTGAGTAAAAAGATAGTTTTTTGAAGCACAAGTTAAGTAAAATTAGAAGTTGGAGGCTTTATTTTTGAGTGGTATAACATGATTGGGAGAGGTGGTCTAGAAGAAGTTAGTGGAATTCACTCAGGAGATTGTCTGTTGCAGTAAAGTTTGGTATGGTGGAATTGTGAGTGGTTCTTGAGAACAGATACCCTGTAAGCTTCAAAAGGGGTTTTATGGTACACCATCCTTTTTCTTTTGTAGATTTATTCAGCCTTCTAGCTCAAAGTTATCGTTGTATTATATATTGGTTGGTTACCAACATATGAAGATGTGCAATTATACATAACTAGCTAGTGCTACCACTTCCTATCAGGAATATCACTGTCTGGATTCTCCTTTGATGTTCTCTGTAACTGGGGTTTGTCATTTGCTAGATTCATGAGTTCTCAATAGGAGAGTGATAGGTAGCCTTTCTCAACCATATGGGGTAGGTTACGTAAGTCTTGTTTTGCAATTCTCTTCTGATCAGTATCAAGGAACACCCTAGCATGAGTACGAAAAGATAAATCAGAATCTATGACCATGAGTGTTTAGTGTCGGCTACCTACCTGACACAACCCTCCTTTATCTGGGCTTGGGACTGGTGGGGTAAGGCAGCTCACACTGAGTTATTAGATGAACAAAATTTAACATTTGAAAAAGTAGTCTTTTTCAGATTTTAAATTTAACAAAATTTAAAATACTGTCCTATGCTAAAGCCTCCCAGCCCTCCCTGCATATTGATTATGATTTTTAAGATTGTTATCTAGCTGTTGAGTTTCAGAAGTTTCTCATCATGCAGCCTTCATCAAATTTGTGTCCTTTCACCCTATAAAATTAGTGTCTTCTCTGGTATTGGCAACTAGTTTGTAGAATGTCTTATATATTTTCAGTAGATAATGCTAGGGATTTGATTTGTTCTTTAAGAAGCTTATAATGTATGCTTCCCACAAAATTTTATTTGTAACATCTGAATGGGAAACCAGTTATATGTTCAAATTTCAGCAGTGGCAACCATGTTTTTGAACGGCTGTGAGGCGAGAAGAGCATATGCCACAAGGAGGCAGGGCCAATTAGCCTAGCCTCAACAGTCTCTTCTATGGGAGACAGTCTTAGGCCTCAAATTTCTGCTGGTGCGTTAATTTCTGACTTCTGAGAGGCGTACGCATCTCCTAGTAGCCCTGCAAAAACAGATTAAACCTTCAATTAAAATTCTTAAATATAGATCATTGAGAACGAAGAAAGAAAACCCTATTTTCACAACATTTTGGAGGCTTAGCTGCTTGATGCTTTGCTAAACACAAACAACTAAGTATCTAAGATTGGAAGTGGAGAGGACAGTTGAGATCATTCAAAGTTCATAATCAGGCATGCTGCTTGTATTTATCAGGTGTAGCAGCACAAGTTCCAGCACAACCACAGTTCATAATTCCTGCTCATTCCTCATTTTACACAAGGAAGTGGTTCAAATCAAATGGCAGGTTGAGGGATAGATCGAGATGAGTTGCATCCTAAGGTATGATACTTTGTCCATCTATTCATCTATTCATCTATTCCTTCCAACGTTCCAGCAGTATTATATTTTCACTAGAGTGGGTCATTGTTATTTACAGGTATACTTAGATTGCAGCAGGACTAAGAGCCCCAGTATTGCTACTTGAGTGGAAAGTTTTGAATCTAGCCTTGCAAATTATCGTCTTTGCATTCTAGAGGTAAAATTAATACTAAATCAAATAATAAAACTTTGCTTATGTATTAACTACTTTCATGGTGCATGGATGTAGAATGTGAGCTAAGATCTTCTTACTCATACTGAATCAAATAATTTGCATTTCCATTATTTTCTCTTGAATGTATAATATTATATGTGTGTGTGTGTGTGTGTGTGTGGAGATTTAATTTCAAATAAAGTGTTGAGGAGCAAGTGAACCTGTTTTGAAAAATATCTGGCTTAACAACAGACAAGCCATGAGTTCAAGTGTAAATGTGTTGAGGTATGGGAAGAGCTTCATTGCAGCAGCCATAGATGCTACCTGTCAGACCAAAGCAAGAAAGAAAAGCAGCTCAGAAACTGTTAATGATCTCAAAAGGCAAAACCCAACTTCAAAATAAATAACATGATAAAAAAACCATGAATTGGAAAGGGTTCAGAAGTTAAGGAAAATAAACCAAAATATACACATGTATTTCTTTTTATGTTGCATGCTGAAATTCAGACCTTGGTTAGCTTGGTTGTGGTGGACATTCCAGAGACCTTAGAGGCCTCTTGATCAAGTGAATCGAGCCTTTGAAAGAGTTTCCGTTGTTAGGATTGGTTTTGGGCAGTTTCCACATCCATTTTATCTTCTTTGTTATCCACCAAAACATTCTGCTGAAATTCATTAGTTTTGGGTAACTCTAATTTAGTTATAGGTGTATAAGTGAAAAATCACTGGACTGCAAACAAAGATCTTCCAAATAGAAGCATTTCTGCTGAAATTCAAATAAAGTGCATTTTGATTTTTCTCTCAACTATATAAAAGACATGCATGTCAATTTTGTTTCTATTTTCTTATAAACCCCTGTTTCTTATTTGTTATCTGAAGAAAATTCTTATAAACCCCTGTTTCATTCTATTAGGTAGAAGAACACCAACAGAAGTATCATAAATACTTTGCTATTTTAATCATTAGGATGTCCACAATTTCAGGAAAATAAAAAGAAATATGCTAGACATATACATGCAGAAAAGTTAAATTTTATTAAAAGATCCATATTATTGGGTAGATTACTGAGATGCAGTTTTAATAGAGCGGAGAAAGGCCAAATGCCAGTTAGTTTAAGTCATTAGCAGCATATTTACATATTGGCATACATACACATAAACTTTTATACCTATATCTATTAGATGGATAGAGATATAAAATGAGAATTCATCATTTAAGTGAAAAATAAATTAATAAAATTTTTGTTAATGATCGAAAAAAGTTGTATTAAAATCTCATTACCTTAAACCGATTATATGGTATTACTGTAATACAAGCATGATAGAATGTAAGCAAGAAAACTGCTTCTTCTTCTTCTTCTCTTTATACACTTGCCTAGTTTATTTGAAATGATATTTCATTGGATGCAAGTTAATCCTTACATCCAGACATAACCTCTGGATTTTTAGCACAAAATGGCCACTCTCAGACATAAACCCATTTTCTCATGGTTGCCAGCCTAAGATTTTGACATCACACCAAAGCAATAGCCTTCTTAATCTGATATCAAACTAAAATCTGAAAATACAAAATGAAAAAGAGAAATCAAAGGAATTGAGCTAAGCCACAGAAGAGGAAATTGGTCATATTTGACGTTATTATAGTTCTTTTGTTAGTGATTCAAATAGCCTCTTGTAAGCTCTCACAATGAGCTAGGGGCAGGACCAAAAAGGACATGGGTTGAAGTAGTAAGAAATTATTTAATGGCTCATAATTTAAGAATGAATATGGCACTAAACAGAATAGAATGACAAAATAGGGTTCATGTAACCAACAAGCCTGGTTTCGAATGTCGCGAAATTTCGCTAATGTCGCCTGACATATGTCGATGTCGAGGCTCACCGACATGAAAATGGATGGTAATATAAAAATTACATTATTTCGGTCGACATTTCATTATATTTCGGAAATGTCGACCAAATTGGTCCAAATAACAAAACAAAAAAAGACGGTTTTTCCTATTATGTCGACAGGATGTTGACTAATGTACATTAATAATATAATATATTAGTATATTATATTAATATAATACAGTATATTAATATAAATTATTCCATTAATAATTTCTATTTAATATTTCAAATACAATATTTATAAAAAATAGTTAACAAAAAATAAAAACAAAAGAATAAATTAATTACTCTATAATATAAAATATAAAATATTTTTCAAGTAATAAAATATTAACTAGTTAGTATTTTTAAAATATTTATTAAAATCAGAAAATGTTTATTAAATTTTATAATAAATCATATTCTAAATTTAATATAAAAAT